AAAATCGACGCCTGGATTTATGTCAGAAGACATTATCATTCTTACACCATCACTCAATTTTCTAATCGCGTGGTGAATGTTAAAGAATTTTTGGTGCTATCACTATTACTACGTCATTGATCAAAATAGATGAGCTTGCGCGTGCATAGCAACATACGAACATATCCCTATTCATACTCCAGCTTTGTCACCATAGTCGAAACTAATCGTATATTGTACAGTAATATCCACAGGGGCAAGTTCTTTACTGATTTAGAGGTTTATACATGCATGTTGCCTAAGAACTTCGAAGACAATACTGCTGCCTAAGATATCTTTGTGTCAATAAGTTTATTTTTTCTTCTTTTCCAGCGTATAGAATAGCTTGGCCAGATCTCGGCGGCAGGTCTCCGAAGGGCAAGCTGGAATTCGTGTTTGTGGAAAAAGCAAAGCGGAAATCGTATGGATCCGGAGAGGAGCCTCCAGTTAAATCTCGATTATGACCGCCTTTTCACAACAAGAATGTTGTGGGGAAAGCATGAAGCTCCCTCCCCCTCCCCTCCTCCTATTTCTTGGCACGGATGTTCATGTAGAGGCCTGAATATTTCCCTCTTATTCAATGGTAATTCGGAGTAACTCCAAGCACACTTAAAGACCGTTCAATAACCTGCTCCAGCAAAGGTTCAATGTCCGTTTCAATGCGAGCGTTTCAATGCGCGAGAAATTTGAAAGAGCTTCAAGTTCAAATAAACGCGCTTTTCTAAGCGGATAGGCCATGAATAGCCACCAAAACCGGCGTAAAGATGCGCAAAAAAGAGTAGAAGAAGTGTTGGAAAAAGATTTGAAATATTATGAGATTGGGAAAAAAAACGCTGTACCTTTTCGTGAGTTAGGTCTCCGGCAGAGACCTACGGGAGACCTCAGGTCTCCGATTAGTAAACCTTTTTTATTTCTTATAATTTTACGTTCCTCATAGCAAACACTTTTTGTGCACCCCTTGACCCAACTTACAGCGCAATAACCAGATCACAGTACCTTCTCCTTTCCTTGCTAGTGTAACGATAATTTGGCGAATGGGTGTAGTAATTATTGGGTGTACAACTTAATTCGGTCCGTTTTTTT